GCACATATATCTATTTTCTAACAAACTGAGGCAACAGACCTTTCCAGTTCTATGTTAATTCTTAAACTCTAATTGGATTATTTGAACTCTAGCCCGCACGGTTTCTGTAAATGACATTCATGTCTAATTGGATTCAAGAGTTCTGATAATAATAGCTTCTTTTAAACACGTCACATGTTTTTTCTTGCCCTACCTCAGCTAAGTGGAGACTTGCAATGATTTTAGAGGAAAGAAGGAAGGAACAATGTGTGTGACTTCCTGTAGTCCTGATGTCTCATTGTGCCAGCTACTGCACAAAATATTGAGTCTCCGGTAAATGCACAAGGACAAGAAGCCGTGTCTCCTAGAAGATGCAATGGGAATAAATAGTCCAATTACTTTGTCACACATTGTGGCCGTGCCTGGTAAAGCTGAAGATGTGAGTATTTAGCGCGCACCAGCATTTTCAACAGAAAAGGAACCTGACCTGATTTCTCATTTTGAAGCTCATTCTGCTTGTTTTGTGAGCAGATGAAGGAAAGCAGGGCGGGGTGGGCAGAGACCACTATGGAGATGCTGCTGTAACTAGGCAACATGTGAGTGGCTTAGCTGGGAACTTGGCAATGGAGATGGGTAGACAGGGACCCAAATAATCCTGCCCTTCATCTTCCATTCCATCAGTTTTTTGGTTCTGGGGTAGTAATAAGAATTATAGTTAAGTCATAAGATCTTCCAGGAAAGCACATTTTCTCCTGAGTTCTATATATTTAGCATAGCCTAGAAGCCTCCTGGCCATTACAGAATATTGTCTGTTGTCAGATGCCTTAAAGTTTCAGCTAAAAATGCGTATTTCAGGCTCTCCCTGGTGGTGCAACAAGTTAAAGTGCAGCACTCCAAAGCTGTCCACAGCCACTGCAGTATGAGTTCAATCCCCAGCCAGGGAGGTGACCCACAGATCTCTCCTGCCTCGCCCCATGCTCCCCTCAGCAGTGTACTTCATCAATCTGCCTGTTCTGCTCCCCACTCTGTCTCTGGTGAATCCTCTCACCACCCCTGCATCTCTGGCCTGTACCCCAGCTCTGTATGCATAAATCAATAAATCTTGAAAAAAAAATAAGGAAAATACATGCTTCCATATTAATTTGGATAAGATGGAACAACTCCAAGTTCCCTTTGCTGGAACAAGCTGAGTTCATGCTGACTGCCCTTCCCCAGAGTCATCTGGCCACTTTCACCCTCTGGAAGGCTCACTTTGGATATATGACATTTTCTTGAGGTGCAGTTTTCATTAGAGCTGTCCCCCAATACTTAAACTTATATCAAATATATTATAATTCTGTTGAAATTAAAGTAGCTGAGAGTAAACCTTAAAAAATAAAATGTGTCTCCCATCCCACACAGACTCTGGGGGTGCCAGATAATCCACCAGGAAGTGTAGTTCTGGGTACTCAGGAAACTATCAGTAGAATCCCCATTTCAAGAGCTCCTTAAATTTACTTAGGCCCAATTTCAATTTTGTGTGAAATAGATGCTACAATAATAATGTCATAATATTGATATGAATCACCTCACTTTACCATCATAATTTCTTGTTATGATGGACTGAAAATTATTTCAGATAAGAACTGTGATTCAGGCAAGGATAATCTGCAGATAATCAACAAAGTCCAAATCTTTTACAATGGGAGTGAATCTACCTGATGTTTGCCTTGGGAAAGGACAGTATTTTTGTAGGTTGGACAGTAAACAAGTCCACCTTACTCTATAGGGAGACACCTCTGTGTTCTCCACAAAAATGAATTTTTAAGTAGTTAGAGGTCAGTGCCTCCCTTCACTCAGCAGAAATATGACTATCTTCCTGGAACTGCTTCTCTCTCACCTGAAACCTTTAGGTACTTTGCAAACAGGAGAATATTTCTGTGTATATACATCTGTGTACACAAGTATACATTTCTGCCAGGGCTGGCAAAGGGCTGTCTTATCCACTGAAATGGCTGGGAGCTGTCCCCTGAGGGGACATTCATTCTCCCACCTGAAATGTTGGTCTACTGGAGATATGCATGGCTAGGTTGGAAGAAAATGGCTGCCACACAGGGTTCTGAAAGCGTCACCAGCACAGTACCAGGGTTCCTAGACCTTACCCTGTGCATCCTTACTCTTGACCTGTTTATCTTTTATTGCAGACAAAACCAGAAAGCCTGACAAAACTGACTGATGGGGATAAAATAAAGACAAGGTATCAGCACTGACTCATTACCAAGGTAAAAATATGCAACTGGGGTCTCCCTGGTGACACAATGGATTAAGATGCATCACTATGAAGCTATCCCCAGCCACTGTGGCATGAGTTTGATCCCCGGCCAGGGAGGTGACCCACATGGCCTAGCAGACCGCTCCTGTCCTGCACACTGCTCCCTTCAGCAGTTTGTTTCAATTTGTCTGTTCTGCTCTCCACTCTGACTCTGGTGAATCTTCTCATGCCCACCCCCCTAAAATCCCCAAGTCTGGCCTACACCCCAGGTCATGCATGCATAAATAAAATAAATCTTAAACTATCCCAGGCCCTCCCTGGTGGCACAATGGGTTAAAGCACAGCACGATGAAACATTCCAAAGTCACTGCAGCCTGAGTTTGATCCCCAGTCAGGAAGGTTATCCATGCCGTGCAGCAGACCTCTCCTGACCTGCCAGCTGCTGCCCTCAGCAGTACATTTCAGTCAATCAGCCTGTTCTGCTCCCCACTCTATCTCTGGTGAATCCTCCCACCCACCCATATCTCCAGCCTGCACCCCAGTTCGTGCATGCATAAATAAATAAATCTTAAAAAAAAAAAAACTATGCCCACCAGCACTATGACTGATCTGTCAGAACAAACATGAAACAGGGGCTCCAGTGAAGCACCTATAAATGCCTGGATATTATAAGGATTCCTACTGACTCTGAAATCCTTAAAGCTCTGAATTCATTTAGGCTTCCTTCCTCCCTCCCTCACATTCCCTGTTGAATCCCAGATTCCTCAATTCAGGGAAATGGCCTTACGGACACTACTCCAGCATAAATTCAGGTTTCTTCTCCAAAGGAACTTAGTTAAACCTGATTCCTTCCACCCACTTTCTCTCCAAGTATTGGCTTTCCAGCTGTGAGGATCCCACCCAAGAACCTATAACCTTCTTATATCTGGAAATGTCAGAATTTCAGATAAAGATTTTCCACATCTCTAATGTTGTCCCTAAATCATATTTCTGGTCAAGTAAAATGAAACAAGGAACTCAAAATACTCTCTCATGATTTTAATATAAATGTGCATAATGAAAAAAATGTTGCTACATTCACCAACAGGTGTGCAAACTTCAACTCCTTATCCATCAATGACAGGAAGAAGCAGGGTCCCCCTTCAGCCGGCATGCTCTCCCCCTGCACCCACTGTGAGGGGCTCAGGATCCCGACCCACACACAGGTAAGGCTTCAGCACTTGAGAAAACGTCTCCCTGAAGGTGTGGATGTGAGACCGGTCGTGGACGCTGTAAAAGGAAATCTGGCCCAGCTCGTAGTCCAGGTAGACGCCGATCCCTCTGGGCTTCTCCCTGAGCGCCAGGGGCACCGGCGCGGGGCCCACGGCCACGTAGGCGCCATCACGCAGCCCGAGGGCCCAGCGCGCGTCCTGGCCCGGCAGGAGTCCCTGTCTCTTCCAGGGCAGGGCCTCTGCGCACAGCCCCACGGCCCACTCAGCCTTGTCCCCCACCTGCACCTCCCAGTAATGGCGGCCGCCGCGGAACCCCTGAGCGCCCAGCACCACGGGCTCGGCCACAAAGCGCTGCCGGTTCCGGGGAACTTTCTTCCTTTTCCTCACAAATGTCACAGACTTTTGGTCCTCAGACACCAGCAGGCTAGGGTGCGCTGTTTGGGGATCCAGGGTCACTTCCTCCCTGAACCTCTGGATAATTCTCTCTGAATACAGGGGCGGGAGGCTGAAGCCTTCCTGCCTTAACTGGAAGGAGCTCACAGCGGGGGGCTCCAGGCTCTGACACCTGTCCTGGAGGCTCTTGACACCCCTCAGCAGCTTCACCTCTGACATCACGCTCCTCTCTGCCACCTCCCTGAGTAGCCCTTTGACGGTGGAAATATACTCTGTGAAGGTGTTTACATTCTCACTGAGTTTCTGCTGAATGTCCCTCTCTTCCTCGGCCAGCTTGGACATGGCTGCCTCCTGCTCATGTTCTACAAACTGGTTCAGGCGCTCAAATTCTGAGGCTAGTTTCCACCGGCGGTGTTCCACTTGCTCTCTCAGCTCCACCAGTTCTCTGTCCTGTGTGGCGACGAGTTTGTCTACATCAGCAACCTGCCTCTTCAGGGCCTCCCTGTAACTCCTGAGCCTTTGCCTGTGGTAGGAGGCGGCCTCCTCCATGGGCCTCACCAGGTGACCCTGGTGGGCAGAGGTGCACAGGCCACACACCACCTCCAGGTCATCCTCACAGAAGAGGCCCAGCACCTGGTTGTGCTGCCCACACAGGGCATTCTCCTGCCTGCTCTGGCTGCTGCTGTGCAGGAGCTTGGTCAAGTCGATCATCCTGGCCAGCTGGGAGTTGGGGCTGAAGTGCCTCTCTTGCTGGGGGTGGCGGCAGACAGGGCAAGGGAACCTGCCTGGGAGATCCTTCCAGCACTGCTGGATGCATGAGCGGCAGAAGTTGTGGCCGCACGGGATGGTGACCGGGTCTGTCAAGAAGTCCAAGCAGATGGGGCAGCGGACCTCTGCCTGCAGGGCTTCCAGGGTGGCTGAGACCTCCATTTTGGCGGGAAGGGCCGGGCTAAGGAGAGTTCTCAGGAGCTGGGCTGGGCAGGCAGCTCTGAGGGTGGAGCCAAGTTCAGCAGGTCTCTGGTCAAAGTCAGCCGGGCTCTAATGGGCCTGTTTGGTCCTGAGGAGGAAAAAATAAGGTTAAATTTCTTGTGAATCTGCTGACCACCACATTTAGAGGAAAGAACTAATAACCAAATAACTGTTGTTCCACCCACACAATCCCAACTATCTTCACATCAAATCTGTAAGTACTGAATAGTACTGGGGCGCATGTGTAGGTTTGGGGACAAAAGCACTAATTTGGTTAGGTTCCCCTTCGGCCACCTATTTGTAAGGTTGTAAAATTACTTACCCTCAAATCAGTGTAACTGGAATCCAAAATAATAGGGAAGAGTATAGAATAACCTAGATGAAGATTCATTATCCTTTGAGGTATTATCTTACTGCTGTCAGAATAGGCCCTGAGAAACCAGTCATCACCTGCTCTAGGTCTTGCCCCACTTAGTTTCATCTCCCTGCTTACCTGGATCCCGGGCTTCAGTGGCTGTGGGAAAGCTTGGCTGGGTCTTTGAGGTCAATCTCCTTGAACGGGCTCTGAAGCCAAACTGGCAGCAGTCGTCAAGTCTCTGATGGGGCCGGGTATTTATATAGCACAAGGTGGGTGGGTGGGTGGGGTACTCCAGGCAACTCTTCCAATAAGATGGTGGCTCCTCCCCCAAAGAGGAAGCCTGGACCTCAGATGAGATCAGTGTTCTAGTTGATGGGTAGACAATCTCCTGGGACTCAATAGGGGCCGGGAAGGTGGGGTGGTAATTAAATATGCAGCTTTCATTTGCATATTTGAAATCCTCCCTATTCTTTCTAATGCCACTTAATCCCATTTCGCTTACCTGGAAACTAAATCTGAAAGGTTTTGCGAGGGGAGTGGCTCACCAGAAGCCTATAAATGGGATCATCAGTTTCAATGTCACAGCCTGAAGTCTCCAGCACTGCCTAGATTACTTTAATTTTCCCTCATTTTTTTTTAATCCTTTATTTTGGAATCAACCATCTATTGCCTTAAAAACTACCTTTTCCCATTAACTGCCCATTCCCATTTTCGGAGGCCGCTCACAGCCAGGGTATCTGAGATCTTGAGAGCTGCAGCATTGGACCTTGGCCTTCCAGAGCGGAGAGCGGCCCCCGGAAATGACCAGCGCAGCAAGGCCAACCTTTGAGCCTGCAAGAGGTGGGAGAGGGAAAAGAGAAGGGGATTTGAGCCAGCTCTCAAAGCAATATTCAAGCAGAGACCTACCTTCTCATACAACGATAAAATACAGACAAACTACTCAGGACACCCCTGAAGAGGTTCGGAACCGTGACTTCCGCAGGGAGTTGAAAGAGCGCGAGACAGCCGCTGCATCAAGGGAAAACAATGCTCTTTCAACTCGGGGAAGTAGAACTTCAGTGTCCAAGAAGCCTCGGCTAGAGCAGATTCCCATTGCCATGCTCGACGCAGACGATCCTCTGATGGCGGAGGAAGATGAAGACTGGGAAGAGGAGAGTGATGGTGATGATACCGCAGCTCTTCTGGCAGAACTAGAAAAAATTAAAAAAGAAAGAGCTCAAGAGCAGGCCAGGAAGATACAAGAACAAAAAGCGGAAGAAGAAATTATTCGTTTGAAAAACATCCTCGGCGGGAACCCTCTTCTCAACCTGGGTGGCCCAGCCCAGCCTCAGACCAACTTTAAGGTCAAGAGAAGGTGGGATGATGATGTTGTTTTCAAGAACTGCGCCAGAGATGCCCA